ACTTGCTGAGGGTGCGCTCGATCCCTGTGTTTCACAGCTGATAGGAAGCTGGCCTGGGCACCTTTGCACCTGTCGTGGCCCCTTGCAGGCTCTGCAAGGAGTTACTGCTGTCCCAGGGGTGAACAACCTCAATCCCCAGCATGACACCCTGCACCTCCAGCACCAACCTGGCTACCGGTGCGAGCAGAGGCTGGAGGCTGGGATGGGTGGCCCAACGAGCGGGAGGGTTTTAGTTTCTTGAGGGATCCCAGCTCAAGCCACCCATTGTGGCAAATGCAGGATCACGAGTCCTTGTTTCTGTTCAGCTCTTCCCATGCGTGTGAAGAGACTTGAAAGTTTTATGAGGGAACTCTGCTTAGGGGATGTGGCATCTTGAAGAAAATAGAGAAATGGAAAGAGGGTGCCTTTAAGTCAAGCTAAGAGCAAGAGGCAGTAGACCTGCGCTAACGGCAAGCAATATGTTTAAATGGTGGTTGTTTTCTGAGCAGACTTGTAGGATAACTAGAAATATCTACAAATTGTAGAAAATACCCTTCAACAGAAGGGTTTTTCTTTTAATTAAGTAGGTTAGATTTAGGAAGCAGGTATCCAGACTCTGGACTGTCACAGACAAGCAGGGAGCTACTGCATAATTTTTCAAGCATTAGCAGCTTTTTCTAAATCCCATGAGTTTGTCAAAACCAATTTCCTGTGTTGATGTTGGGGTAAGGCATGCAAAATAGCCAGCCTGGCAGCTACAGAAAAATGAGGATATATGAAAAAAGGATAGGCTTTTTATTTACCCTAAGTGATGGTTATTGGCTGAAATGTGAAAAGAAATGGGGGAGGGTGGGGGCGGGGGAGGGAAATGTGCTTCACTATACACTATGCCTTTTTTTCCTCTTGTCTGTATTTTCTCCCTGTCTATATATTCTGGACAAAGTATGCCTACTAAGTCTAATTTTTTAAAGATTTTTCTACTTTCACTGCTGTTTCTGCAGCCTCAGTGTTTAGAGCACATTGTTTGTGTGACAGGTTATGTGTAAGATGAGTATTTGATTCCCTAGATTCATCGCACTCACCTTCAGAAACCTGAGTTTTGCCTCTAGGTTCCGCTCAAGTCAATAAGGAAGAGTTTGGTAACACCAGCACATGGATTATAAAATGTTAGAGCTGGCAGATGAAAAGCAATAACAGGGAACAGGACTAACCTGGGAAGGCTGCTTCTAAGATGCAGCCAATCACCCTCCGTCTCCCTCCACCTAGAGAGAGGTTAGCACCTAAAATTCAGAGAGATTAACCCTCTGGTAGTGTCCCATGAGGGTGCTGAACAAGGTGTTAGAAGAATTACAAAACTTAGAGAAACCTATTCCACGTTGCACCCTCTCAGTTTCCTCCTGTCCTGGATCTGGACCTTGAGATGCTCTGCATTTGTTAACTCCCCCGTGACTATGTCCAGTTTCTTAACCCATGCGTACCTTTGGCTGCCCCACCACCCGTTGCTGGCAGGTTTTACACTTTCGTGCAGTACTGCATGAAAGGGCACTTCCTCTTGTTTTCATTGTGCCACCTGATGAGCTCCCTCCTACGTTCCTGTGCTGCGATAACTATCGGCTCATTGTGTCTGCTTTTCTGCCTCTCACGCAGAGCTCCGGCAACGGAAGGAGTTGTGTTGCCTGTAGGTGAAGTCAGCTCTTGTGCAGTTGGCAAGGTCAACACGACCCGTGAGCTAAGTGCTGTGTTTTGGGGGACACACTTGAACACCTCTGGCTGCATTTTTTGTGTCCTTCACCTGACAGTTGTGCTCTCCTGTCTCATCCTCTCCCTACCTCCATACAAGCAATGCCTGGCCAGGACTGGGCAGAGACCTGCCCCTACCATAAGAGCAAGCAGGATCCAGGCTCCGATGGGAAGCCACTGCAAGGAAGGTTTCGTGTGAGATTTTCCCAGGGTGTAGCTGCCTATATGCAAACCGCTGTGGGTTTTTTTCAAAGTACTTAACTTTTGAATGGTGGACTTAATTTGATCCTTGTCATCTGTGGGTTTGGGGAGATCCGGTGGGCATCAGTGTCAGAACACCTGTCCTTTCCTTCTTCTCCTAGGATTTTAGATAATGGGCTGTGTGCAATGTAAGGATAAAGAAGCAACCAAACTGACTGACGAGAGGGATGGCAGTTTAACTCAAAGCTCAGGCTACCGCTATGGGACAGATCCCACTCCGCAGCACTATCCGAGCTTTGGTGTGACTTCAATACCAAACTACAACAATTTCCATGCCACAGGAGGCCAAGGACTGACTGTGTTTGGTGGAGTCAATTCCTCCTCTCATACAGGGACGTTGCGTACAAGAGGAGGAACAGGTGAGTTTCGTAGTCTTCTTTTAGTTCCCTTAGTGAGTATCGGTCATGTAACGACAGCAGGGGCATGACTGTCTTGGCCATGCTGCTTTGGGGAAGAGTTATTTCATGACATCACGCAAAGAACTGAAGTAGGGGTGAAGCTGGGTCTTCAGCCCTATCCTTGCTAAGTTGCAGGTACTAGTTCACTTGGGGGTTGAGAAATTACATATACATGCCCAGTTTGGCTGACTGACTGCCTCATCCCTCTGCCAGGGAATGGAAAGTGGTCTGAGCCACCTCAAGTAGTTAACAGGAAATACTTGGCATGGCTATCTCTAAACCCTCTCTTCAAATCCCCTTTGCCTGCTTGGGATCCTGCATTGTGTGTGGGTACCAAACCAAGAGGACTGATGACTGTACAAAGGGAAGGAGGCCGTGTTGCATAAAAACACAGGGGTTACAACGATCAACCAAAAAGCAGGAGGCTTCAGTTTATTTTGCTCTGCAGGAACCAGAGTAGTTTATGTTTGGCTCAGCCACCTGATCTCTTGAGGTTCCCTTCCCTCCTGTTGTTTTGTGATGGAGTGTAACTCACGTATCTTCTTCTTTAGGTGTAACTCTTTTTGTGGCGCTTTATGACTATGAAGCAAGAACAGAAGATGACTTAAGTTTTCACAAAGGAGAAAAATTCCAAATACTTAACAGCTCGTAAGTTTTATGCTTGGGAATATGTTTGTTAATATTTTTAAAATTGTAATGTTGACATTTGTATTTGTCTGCTTCTGTTATTAGTAAAATCTAATGCTGAATATTCAAGATACGTGGGGATTTTACTCTATGCCTACTTATTTGTCTTTGCATTTAGTGCACCTTTGCAAAGTGCTCTAATATTGAAAAAAACCCCACCAGCTTTAACCACATGAAGCTTTACTTCAGAAATAGGTGTTAGGTTGTGTGATTCACTGCTTACATTTCACAGTAAACTCACATTCGGAACTGAGAGTACCAGCTCTGTACTTTACCAGTCGTCACAGAAGTTCTGCAAGGCATGCTCTAACACTTTTTCAATCTGCTGCAAGTATCTCTACACAGAAACAAGCTAAAAACTGAATCACAAAAGAGACATTACCCACAGTAGAGTGCCAACCTAAGTTCACAAGACGCTTTTTCTTTGGTAATTTTAAAGGTAGGTGATACAGTCAGAACATGCTAGGAAGTTCTGTTAGGTGAGAATGCACCATTGTATGATTGCACTTGGCATGAAAACCACATTTCCATCCTGAAAATCATCAACTTAAGATTAATTTTATTATTGTCTATAGAAAAAAAAATCCCCTAGCGCTTTAAAAATAACATCTAAAACTTGCTGTGCTACTGACCTATATCTGAACATCTTGTAATTCTTGGCTAAGAACATAAAGTTGAAGGCTCGTTATGTTCAGTATTGCTATCGTGTAGAGGTAAAAATGGGTTAATAACCAAGTATGTCGCTTTCCAGAGACTTTGTGATATTGGTGTCATCTTTTTTTTCTTACACTGTGTGACAGTGAGGCAAATTCATCCCTGGTGCAACTCCTGTTAATTTTAATAGAACAACTCCAGCGTTGGAGTTGGCTCAATGTGCATTAAAGTTAAAAAAAAAAAAAAAACAACAGGTAATTCTGTGGAATATTTCATGAAGCCATGAAGCTGAAGAGCTTTGATGTAGATGAAAGCACAGAAACTTCAGTTACGACATGTAGAGGGAGCAGCAGTTTAAAAACCTCTCTACTTCTAAATTAGCACTTGGAAAAAAGCCCTTTTTTAACCTACCATCCATTTTTGTTCCCGTTGCCTGCTGCTTTCCTAACCCGCACAAACTATGCCGTAGCAAAAAGAAATTCCACACGTTATAAATTCCTTACACGAGCCAGTTGATGAAATCAGGGGGTGCTCACCAGGACTTGGCGAGCAATCATACTTGGAATCGGTGGGGTAGAGAGAGATTCCCCCACATGTGGGCAGTTGTGGTACATGCATTTTGATGCAGGTAATTACTGCCTGGAGGAAGGTCTTCTAAGAGTTAAAAAAAACCCCAAACCCACCCAAACAGGCATCCACTGATTACGGAAGCTCAGTTGCCATCACAGTCAGCTCTGCCTCCGTATAACCATGGACCTAACCACGCTCGTGGAGTACTGACAGCCAGGCTGGGAATCTCCAGGAAGCAGGTTTTTTGGGAGAATTCTTCCTCTCTTCACTTATATCAGGAATCACATGAAAGAAGCCAATTTTTTTAAGAGCCTGCCAATGTTGCTTGCAGCCAGAAAGCATCTATGTGCACAAAACTAGTTTGTTGGGAATTTTTGGAGGGGTTTAGATATTTTTTTTTTCCCAGCCCTCAACAAATGAAATTTAATTTGTGCTTTGGATTCAGGAGAGCAATATCTGAAATGGCATACAGAAGGCATCCCTCTGATTTGAAGTCAGAACTTACACCAAGGGCAGTCTGGGGGAAAAGAGACCACAGGGGTGGCTCAGAGCAGAGCCTGACTTCGGGGCTCAGAAACGCTGGGCCATCCCCTGCATCCCCGCAGCCACTCCCGCACACCCCGGCTAAGGCTAGCCTCCTCCTACCTCAGCTGGGTGTCTAAAATTAGGAGCTGTGAAAAAAGTCTTCATTCCTCCTCCTTTCTGGTAGTGCTTTGAGAGATTTAAGCTGCTCTGTCAAAGCAGAGGGGGTTGTTCCCGATGTGGTGATCATCTGTGGGACTGCGTTTTGCCTCCCTAGATGTGATAAAATGCCTCCATCTAGTGGACTCTCTGCACAGTAAGGTGAAGAAATGTAATGGTAGGATTTATCAACCACAGTAGGGCATAATCTCTCAGAAATATTCGACAACAATGTGTGGGAAAAGGTTTAGCACTTCGGCTGATAAAATCAGGGATGTAAACAGATAGAGCCATTTGCTTGACGTACTAATGCACACAAAGTGTATTAAAATAGTGTCAGCTGCCAGCATCTAGAAAAGCTACTTGTTCTTCTCTTTTTTTTGAACTGTACAATTGGAAACGTCTCCTTTTTGACTAATCACAGCTGCTCTCTAGTTATTTTCTGCAGAGTTCTTACTCCTGGGAACTGTTAAAGAAAGTGGAGTTGAAAATTTAAAGTAAGAGCTCACCCTGACATAGCTTAGGCAATGTTTTCTGTAATGCTTGCTTACAGAAGCAAATTCTGTGGCCAAATTTGATAATAGCGTTTTATTGTGAGTGAACAAATCTCTGTTTTATAGAGAGGGGAACTGAAAAAGAGTTTCTAAGCCATCCAGAAATGGAAAAGAGAATGTTTATTGGTTAAACATTGGTGAATCTGGTGCCAAGCATAAAATACAAATCGCTAAATCCTAAATCATTGCATCCTGTAAAAAGCTGAGAAATAAACTTCTGGTAAGGCTGTGCATTCTACAGCAACACACATTGTCTGAAGGGCAGTACCATGTACACACACGTGTACGGCAAAAATTGATTCTGAGCCTGCGAACACTGCCATAAGGTGGTCCTGCATGGACCTCTTCATATTTAAATGTTGTAGAAGAATGGGGTTTTGTAAGTATCTGAAAAGGCATCTGAATCCTTTGCTACTTCAGATACCTCCTCTAGGTGACCAAGAGAGGGAATCTAGACAGTGAAGTGTGATTCTTAAGGGCTATCTAAAGCTCCATCTCAATAGATGGCTTTCTGATGCCTTTGGGTTTCAGATCAATTATCCCCATAGAAGTTTAAAATTAGCAGTGGGTGTGACAGTGTTTGGTTTGGCAGTTTTTCTAAAAGATCTCTCAAGGGTCTGTGTTAGAATAATTGCTATGGAGACAGTTTTCAATATTCTAGTCCAAATCCAGCCCTCACCAAACCTGATTTCACTGGCTTGTTATGCCTGTTCATGTCATTATGCTACATTTGGAAGGCTACATTACTAATCACTGCTGGAATAATAATAGGTGTAAAGAAATACGTATATTAATTTGGTTTAGATGCAAACAGCTCTCTCAGAAGCACACCGGTGATAACGAGATGAGTTGCTGTGGCTTCTTATGCTGCGCAGCTGCAGGTGCTGTTGGCAAAGTCAGATCATTGTCTCTACAGCTGTGTCTCACTTTCACTTCTCCTCACCTCTGTTTCCACAGGGAAGGAGACTGGTGGGAGGCCCGGTCCTTGACAACAGGCGAAACTGGTTACATTCCCAGTAATTATGTGGCTCCAGTCGATTCCATCCAAGCAGAGGAGTATGTTTTCTTTTTCTTGTAAAGACCTATTAGTGCTATATTTGAAGGAGGTTTGAGGATTTGGTTTTGATTGATTGCAGTGATTTTTCAAATGACTTACATTATTTTTATTTCAGTTCTTAACTGCAATGATAAATAATTAGGTAATTAGTACCAAAAGAAGCACAAGCTCTGTGCTTTTTCAGTGTCAAAACACAGGAAGGAAACCTAAAGGAACATAGGTTGGCTTCCTTTATTCAAGTGTTGACTAATTTCAAGCTTTAAGCAAAAGGTGCCCTTGCTTTTCCTGAACCAACTTGTAAAAATATTTGGAGTCAATTAGTGTGCAAACTGTCTTGTTAAAGACGGAACATTGTATCAACAAATACCTACTAATAGGTAGGATGCCTGCAATGCATACAGCAGGCAGCATAATGAGGGCATATATATGTGAAGATAATGGACTGCTGTGTGTATCTGTATTATTTCCGATACAAAAGATACACTGGAGGAGTATCTTATAGAGCTGAGCAATTACTACTGTAGTCTGTACGTCAGGTTGTACTTGGTTGACTGTGAAACTGGAAAAAAAGCAGTTGCTGCCGGAAGGAAAAAGGTACCAAAACTCTGAAAGCCTTATACAACCACAGGGAAGTGGTTGCATCTGGTCCTCCTACTGAGGTTTGATAGCTGTGCTGCAACAAAAATACTGAATACTAATACATCACCATGTAAGTCAAACATGTAGTTCATAGCAGCATCTGTAAAAATACTGCTCTTCAGCAGCGACTCAGTTCTTGCCCTTTTCCTTGTCTGTTCCTTCCCCCTGCCAAGTCTTGCTCTCTCTCAAAGCCTGGCCTGCGTCTCAGGACACTAAACAAGCATTCTCACAGTGTAGGCTTAATGCAGCGTGCTACTGCACAATGTGTACAACATCTCCCACACAGTTTGTCACATTACACAATAAAAGAGATATAATACGACAAAAATGGTTGAATATACTTGAGTAATCATATTTTCCACAAATATTCCTCCATGTCTGAGCTCTGTGACACTATCTAGTAATCCTACGTAGCATTTGTCTTACTATTTCTGTTTTTTTCCCTAAGGTGGTACTTCGGCAAACTTGGCCGAAAAGATGCCGAGAGGCAGCTGTTGTCATTTGGAAACCCCAGAGGTACCTTCCTGATCCGGGAAAGCGAAACTACCAAAGGTAGGCTGGCCAAAGCTATTCTGACTACGAATGAGAAGGTACATGAGAAAAACTGTGCTGAGTTTATGAAATACTGTTCTCAGTGGTATGGAGGTAGAGATAAGTGTCGTCTGGCATATATGAGTGCTAGGGAATTAGATATCTGGACATCCCAGGCCTTAGAGTGAGTGTTCAAAGCAGAGAACAACCAAAGTGCAACTCATGCCATGCTCGACCCATGGCATCTGCAGTGCAAGTCGTGCACAGACAGGGTGCTCTGCTCCGCTGACACACTCTGAACATCACACTGTGTCTCTCAACTCATGTGTGGAGGATTGCAACAGAGTTGGATGGAGAGTGGCCCCTCAGAACAGCAGCTATGGGGCTACAGGAGGCATATCCTGGTGTCCATATTTGGGTCCAGGCACAGCCAGCTAGCTTACTGTGAACAGATGCTGGGAACCTCCAGTCTAGTGTGGTGAAAATTACTGCTTACTTCTGAGCAAGCAGATATTTGAGGTCTTTCTCCTTTGAAATGCTGATTTCCTTAGGAAAACAAAGGGGGAGGGGGGGGGAAAGATGTATCAGTTTAAATTCCTAGATTAACAGTGAAAAGAGTTGAAAATATTTCTAATTAATATATTCATAGAATATTCAACTGTATCCATTCTGCTGAAGTCAAGTGGAAGGATGTATTCTCCTCCTTCCCTCTGAAATTATTGGAGGAGTTCCAGTTTTCTTGGTGGGAGCTATCTTTGCTTTTACATTTTGTTCATGAGGCCTGTCAACATCTTCAAAGCTTCACAAGTATGAAAAGATCTCTCTAACTCATACAACTATTGAGGAGAAAACCTTCAACTAAATGAAAACAAACCTGGCCATTTCTCAATTAACCAGCAATCCAAAACAATAGCTGTGGGAAGTATAAGTCACTAGAATTAATTCCATGTAAGCTCTGAAGTTTAATGATGGTTCATGCAATTAAAGCACTGAATAGTCAGTGCTTTGATCAGAGCATACTCTGTCAGCTAGTTAGCATGCAAAGTGGTTGGAGTCATGGCTGGCAAAGGAGTTTGAAGAATAGAAGCATGACTTCCCACTCCTCTCTACCTGACCCATATCCAGAGGCTGCATTCGGTCATCTAAAATTATAAATTTTACATTTTCAACTCCCGCAGTCACTGGATTCTTCCTTCGCAGGCCGTAACCTTGAAGACTCTCTCTGATAAAAAATCTGAATAGACATGCTGTTGTTTCAGACAGCTAGTTTCCCATCTTGTCGCCCCGCAGCTCTCACCAGGAGCAAGACAGGCTCTAACTTGCTCTTTTTCTGCAAATAGCTTCCACCTGTCTGTTTTCCCCAGCAGTTGTTGTGATGTGTGAGAGGACCAGGACTTCATTCCACTCTGTGCCAAGTTTAAAAACTCACTCATATAGGCGTCCATGGATCCTAAAACCAAACACAGCACTGTTTCTCTAAACCTCATTATCAGTTTAGTCTGTTTTGAACATTTTTTTATACAGTCACTGGGGCTGTTTTGCAGGGTTGTTTACTTAGCTAAGTCAGGGCTTTTTTTCTAGAGCTTCTTGTGAGACACAAAAGCATTGGGGAAATGGAGTAATCCATCATGGATGGACTTACAGCAGCAAGCTTAATTTCTCTGCGTTTGCATTTAAGGGTTTCTGCATCTTCAGGCTAAGTTTGCATCAAAGCCATTGGAAAAGCCAAACATGCATGGCTTTTGTCAAAGATGCCTATTTCCCTTCCCATCATTGTGGTGTTTCAGTATTTTGTTAGAAGAAAACAGAGGGAGCTTGTTGTTCATGAGAGAGAAAAAAAAGTCAGCTGGGAGGGCTCAGATGGTGCCTTCTCAAAATGCCCTATTCCAGCTAGTCATCTTGGGCTTGAGGCAGGAGTCGTTTTGTGACCTAGAATCGTCCCTTCTCCTTTAAGTAATAATAATAATAAAATTAATCAGCATCATGCTGAAAGTATCATCATGGATGACTTCAGCATGAATTTAACCTCCCTTGATCATGGTTGCCTTCTCTTCTTACTTCCAAAATAAATCATACAGAGCTGGCTTTTCATTTTTTTCAATGCCTGACTACCCAGGTACTTCATCAGCTCTTGTCTGTATAATCCTTCACCTGGTTTCAATCTCCACCCTCCAAGGCTGTCTGGTTTTAGGTTTGTTTTTTTAAAAAATTCATTAGTATGATATATTGTAATGCCGTGTTTCTATCCAAATTTTTATTATGTGTATCTCTTATATTTGAATTTATCATCAGATAATAATGAATAGTATAAATAACCAACAGCCTAAATAAATGAATAATGAAATCCATCTTGGCTCTTGTTTTTGTCCAGATTTGAACTAAAGCCCCAGTCCTGCAACTTGATCTGAGGTCAGCGGGGGTCCACAGAGGGCCACCCACGCAGCTCTGATTGCAGACCTGGAGCCACAGATTGTTTACATTTTCCTAAAGAATCTAAAATAGTGACCAGATAGGCAGGGAGCGTGACTAAAGAAAATACAGCTGTTGCCAGTGGATCAAAACTCACAAACGCGGAGGTGGGGAACACGGCCTGGAAAACGTTGAAAGTAGCCTGTACAACCCAGAGTGGTGGTACAAAGCATGCACAAGATGTGCCTGCAAATCCCCAAAAGCTTTGAACTCCTAGCTGAGAGAGATGTGCTTACTCAGTGGGAGAGCCTCCTCAGGAAAACAGCCTAAACAAACACTATTTTTCTACACTTAGAAATAAAAACCCTGTCACTCCTCTCAGGGTGTCTCCTATTCGCATAAACGGGAATCGTCTGTGTAAGTGCTGGCTCTTTTCCTCCTATGTGGAGGACAAACAACAGGGAATTTGAGAAGCCCTTGGAGTCAGGGCGGAGGCGTTTTGTTCACTGCAGCTCCCTCAGCGGTGAGCTGCCCACCAGTGCGACCTGTTAAGGTTAATGTGGGTGGGAAAACTTCTTGCTGGGGAGACATCCAGGAAAGCCATCTTACACGAGGAATCTCAGCCGCCTAACTGGGGGGTTTCTTTAAACCGTTTCTCTCAGCTGGAGGTGGTTCTGGAGGATTGAAACCTGCCAGGGGTGTTGAAAAGTACCCTGACTGGGGATAAGCAGCAGTCGGTGCTGTTTGCAATCAGACCTGGAGGAAATCACCCCACTTTTCACCTTGCCCAGAATGATCTGCTGGGGGTTTTCCTTTTTTTAGTTGGCATGGTTACCAGTGAAAGCAGCCCACATTCCCAGGGAAGGACCTGCTTGAGATCTCTGCAGCTGGCAGTTACTTCCAGGGTTTTTTTCCCCTTTTAATACCTGAATTACCTTTGAGTAAACAGAATACTCGTCTGAGCCATGAGTGAGGACTGGTCTTCGCTGCCCTTGAAACGGGCATGCTGTTGCTCGGAAACTCCATTATGCTGTAAGGCGTGGCTTTGCTTTTGACACTGTAGAGAACCAACACGTGGGTGTCCCTGTATGTAGAACAGGACTGTGCTTCAGAGTAAGACCCCTGAACGTGCAGGTCCCCATGCAGGTCCCCATGCAGGTGGCCAAGCTCCCTTTACAGTCAGCGGGAAGCTGGGGTTCAGTTCTTCTGCCGGTGGCTGCAGACACCTAATGCCCAAACCTGCATACACCATCGACATCCACAGTGCCATAACACTCATGGAAACCAGGCTGGGATTCAACTGCCCTAATAGCACCAGAAACCTACGTGTGGGCATCTAAATCAAGCCCACGGCCCACCTGCAGACAGCCACCGCTACACCTAAAACTAAATCCAACCCCTCAACTGAGGTTCCCTCGCCTGGCCGTGAGTGTTCAGAGCCATTTAAAATGCCTCCAGGGCATCCATGGCAAACGTGACAGCCTGGGGAAAACTCCCAATCAGAATGTCCTGGGACATCTCCAATGGCACTTAACCTCTGTGTTGGGGCATCTGAATCCCACCAGGAAGCTCTAAAGCTCCAGCATGGATTTAGAAAGGGAAACATGGGGTTCTTGCAGACCTCCTGGTGCACAGTCATGGTGTAGTACCACCTTCCAAAGGCTGTGACGCACTAAGTATGGCAATTTGGTCATGTGGTGTTTATAAAGAAGTTTGGGATCCGTCTGGGTAACAACACTACACACATATAAAGTCATTAGCTCCGGTGCTTCCTACGAAAATCCTGATATTTACCACCCACTGGCATTTACCTGAAGTATAGTATTTGCAGTGTGGCCTGACACTTAGATTAAGAAAAGTCAGTTTAACAACCTGAAGCAGCAAATGTTAAAATGTGAGTTTTCATTTACACAGAAGGCCTGAATTTCTTTCTAGAAAAGTGTGAAAGGAACACGGTGTGAACATCATGAAATTTCTGTGATACTTCATTGTGTTAGATTCACTTGTTCTTCTCCAGGGTACAGTAAGCATTTTTTGGAAGCAATTTCTCTTTCTCTTTATAACAACTGACCAACAAACCAAAATCTTTGTGTCTAAAAGCTACTTACAATCTTTTATTTCTCCTTTGCTTGCAACAGGTGCCTATTCCCTGTCTATTCGAGACTGGGATGATATGAAAGGAGATCATGTCAAACATTATAAGATTCGTAAACTTGACAATGGTGGATATTATATCACAACTCGGGCACAATTTGAAACTCTTCAGCAGCTGGTTCAGCATTATTCAGGTAATTTTTCAGATAATACATGGCACTCTGAAGTATTTTAAAACAAAAGTGTTTGCTGCTGAGCTGATGTATGTGTAAGACGCCCCGAAGAGTCATTTGAGCTATGTCTCTTGCTTGTTGTAATGCAGTTTCCATTATCCCTTTCCCATTACAGTTATAAATGGCTTTGAGTGCCATTCACAGTGTACAGCGGCAAAGCTTTTAAAAGCTAGCACTCTGCTGAGGTAAAGGCTCTGCCTGCTCTCCCTCTTCTAAGCAAACAGAATTACTGCATTTGACTTGCACATCTCAAAGCATGAATTCCCTGTGCGTAAGCGAATGCTGGTACCTACCGTTTTTGCAGCACCCTGTTGCCAATAAAGCTAATGGGGAATTGGGTTGTAGAATTCAGTCACCTAAAGCAAAGACCAAAAGGTTTGCATAGATTACCCAACTCAAATTTTCCCACTGGATTTGTGTCCAATGTGCAAAGTATTAACATTTAAATTATAATCAGTCTAATTTTAAAAATAAATACGGCAGGGTGGGTGTTTCTTTATGCACGCTGTTTGTGGCCACCCACCAAGCTCTTATTTATTTGTTTTTTAAATTCCTGTGATTACAATGTGGCATGCACTGTTCAACCCAAAGTGCATCCTGCTGTCAGTGGCGACTGGTGTACAACAGATACAACTTTAAAGCCCCCCGAACCTCTGCATGGGACAACCAGTTCTTACGTAGAAGACTGCCACGCTTCTCAACATGGTCATTTTTTAAGCAGAAATCTGTATTTTGAATTATTTTGCCTTTTTTTTCCCCCTTACTTCAGCTTTTGATAATATTAACAGATGACCGCAAATGCTCACTGCTCAAAAACTTTTCATAATTTTTACTTGGGGAATCAACTTCTCTGTGGGGTGTTTTCTCTGTATTCTTTGTATTCTGTCTGCTGTATTCTTATGCTATTCATACTAGACATCTGGCTGTCTTCTCCGCCCAGTTTCTGATGGGTGTATGCTGCCTGGGAGAATTTGTAGTTGTTTCTGGTGACTCTACATGAAACTAAGCTAAATAATGTATAAAAACTCACATCTAAGGAAGATAATTTTCAACCCCACTATACCAGCTGGTATTTGTCAACTTTTAGTTTTCTGTGGTCAGATTATTTGGGTGGTGTAATTTCCATGCACCGATGCCGAAACAAATAGGTCTGGAAACAGCCATTTCTGTGCAACACAGAGGTGTAATCAGTAGGATCTGGGTAGGGTAGCTCAGGAGGTCATGGTACAGACCCACGCTCCAGAAGTTTCACCCAGGGCACTGCTGAGTACCCGTATTACCCAGACTCACCTCTTATCCCAGCCCCTTCTTACCGGGATAAGGAAGTTAACAGCAGTGTCTGGAGTTTCACAGATGAGGTTTGCAAACGAAAAACACGGAGATCCCCAGGGTTTCCTGACATCAGACTAAAGTCCAGTAACGGCACATCTGAAGGTGAAGCACCGTTCACCCAGTCCCCAACAGCCAAGCGTCAGCTCTTGTGCGTGCAGTCCAGGCTTAACTGGGCCACCAGCATCCCAAGCTTTTTTTGTTTCAATTAAAGAAAACAAAGAGGTCTTAAAAACCTCCAGTTTCTTTCTGCAGCTGCCCAAACTCATAAGGAACCTTTCCAGATACTAGCCATTTTTGAGTAGTCCCTATCCTAATGTTCCCATTGGAATTATCTTGGAATAAGACGTGCCAACTGGTCAGCTAATCTTCTCTGTTTTGCGGTCTTTGTTGTCTTGCTACATCTATACCTTGAGATGCTGAAACAAACTGTTCACCTGCCCAGAAAGAAGTCTGGCACAGGAGAAGAAAGATTATGTTTGAGTCCGAAATACAGCTGCAGCTCCCCACCTTGTTCTGCTCTTCTGCACCTGTTTTAAGATACAGGTCGCTGTGGAAGCATTAAGTTGTAGTCTGCTTTGTGCAGCGTAGTGCACTACACAACAATATGTGTGTATATATATCTATATAGATACCATTTTTTTTTTACTCTTGCTAAAATATCTTGTGACTTTTGTCACAGTTCTGTCTTCTGTGAAGCTTTGCAAGAGATAAGTATAACGAATGTGCCCCGAATGAAGTAGGACTGGCTGCGTATGTTAATAAAGGTTGGCCCTAGACAGAATGGCAGAAGTCTTTTACAGGATGTCAAAATAAACACCTTTTCACAAAGCAGAATATAGGAAATTCCTTTTCCCAGGATACGTAGGAAAAAAAAAAATTCAAAAAAAGCCCACCAAATTCTCATTGCTGACATCTTCAGAAAACGTGAATCTTTGTGTTTCTTTTCCTCACGTCAGACACAATCCAGTTTGTAGACCACAGGTGATTTTTAAAAAGCTATACCGTACTACAGTATATCAGTTCCTCATGAAGTTGTCTTAATGCGGGACTGTGGGATAAGGGAGATCCTGAGTCCCCATGAGAAACCGTTGGTGGTCACCTTCTATTTCAGGCTGTGGAAGCAGAGACTAAAATATTTCCTGTTCTGTCCCAAACGAATATGTTTCAGTGTTCAATTTCTAATCTTCCAGGATGCTTTGTGGTATGCAACTAACAGCTGTTGTGAGTAGCATTGTTTTTATGCTTACTGTTTTTGTTTCATGTCACACTTTTTTTTCTTTCCTCTCCTTTGCTGTTGGCTTCACTTCTGGCTCCATCAGAGAGAGCTGCAGGTCTTTGCTGCCGCTTAGTAGTCCCCTGTCATAAAGGAATGCCAAGGCTTACTGATCTGTCTGTCAAAACCAAAGATGTCTGGGAAATTCCACGAGAATCCCTACAGTTGATCAAGAGACTGGGAAATGGGCAGTTTGGGGAAGTATGGATGGGTATGGAGCAAAATAATTATTCTAAAATAGCTCTCTGTGTGGGGATTACAAGATGGAAGGTGGAAATGTTGGACACTCTGACCCAGAAGAAAAAAAAAAAAGAAAGAGGAAGGCTCAAAGCATTGGGAAAAATGTCTTTGGAATCATGTCTTTGACTTTCAAATTCTTTAATCTTCAACTTTCACTGTAATTGATGGCAAAAGAAAACTGAAATTCCGTGTTTCCTGGGAAGGTTTTGATTTTGACAAATTACCACTGTCTTAATAATAAATCAAGGCTCGCATAGTAATCTATTAATTATATCAAGGAGTCTTTCTATGCAAGTGAACAAAAAAGTCCTTACCTTCAGTATCCAAAAGTCAGTGTTTGCAAATGAACTTTAATGCAGCACTGAGAGACAAGTCACCTTCCATCTTTCTCAATGCATGCATAATTTTGGATTATAAGTGTGTTTTTTTTATTAATTTCCTCTCCTATAGAGAAAGCTGATGGTTTGTGTTTTAACTTAACTGTGATTGCTACGAATAATACCCCACAAACTGTTGGATTGGCTAAAGATGCATGGGAAGTTGCACGTGATTCATTATTTCTGGAACAGAAGCTTGGTCAGGGGTGTTTCGCTGAAGTGTGGCGTGGTAAGGCAGAGAATATATTTTGCTTTGGATGGATCTTTTAAGGCCCTCTTGGCAGAAATAAACATTTCAAGTAGAGACCTTAAAGCGAAAAAATCAGAATACTATGAAATGCTAGTCTGTATCCCCTAAGACAGTCAGACCAAAATGCAGTAATCCTCAGGGAAACTTCCTTGCATGTGCACACACTGGTATGAGAGGTTAGGGCCTTAAACTTCGTTAATTGTATTGGGCTTATTTGGGCGACTACACAAGTGCTAGGTATTAAAATAGGAATGATGCTAAGCTTGAAAGGCAGAATGGCTAAGCAGAGATTAATCTGGTAAGTAGCTGTTTTTCTTTCCTCCTGTGCTTTAGCATCTTTGGGGTCAGACCCTGCAGATGCATCCATCTGCCCCCCGCCAGTTTAAAAATAATGGCGAGTATCTGCAAGCTGATATTGTCAAGCTATCTCTCCCCTGCATCCACTTCTTTAAGCCTGTTTTGAAATTTGTATCTGCAGCAGAACCCCGTAACTCGATATAAAGACCAGGAACAATAGAGGCAAGACTTGCCCAGCCCAGCTGAATCCCCACTTTGAAGTCCAGAAATATTGACATTTTCCAAATCCACTGACATTGTGTTCTGCACACTTGCCAGCTTTACTTACTACTCCCCTCTCTACGGGCCTCATTCTTTTAATGACTGTAAAACAATGGCAATTTAAAATATACATAAATCTTAGCGTAGCCATAGCACTGAAACACAATATAGTGGCCATTTAATGAGCGGTGGGCTCAATTTTTGTGCCAAATTGCGTTCTGTGTAGCCTCTTTAAAATGACTGACTCAAATAAAGAATCACTACATGTTGTTTCTTTACATCAGATCATTTGGTGGAGCAGTTTGGCCGCTCTTTTTTGTTGCAGTGACACAAAAGTATGTACAACCAAAATCACCAGCAGGCTCTCCGGGGCTCTTGCAGCTGTTTTCTGTTGCATAACTACAGCAAGGAGCATGACAGCAAACCCGTGAAATTTATAGAATTTATAGACTAGAACTAAAGAAATTTATAGAATGTCACAGAATTACAGTTGACCAGCTGCAAAGAAAACTACCTGTGTTTTATATTAGCATCCCCAGATAACTGCAGGTTCACCATCTTCATTGCATGTGCAAGATTCAGGTTGATGTGAATACTCAGTGGTCAGCTTTGTGTGCCATAGATCCTGCACTGTTACGACAAGTTAAAGTAGCTAATACAGTTAAAAAAATAAATCAGCCATGAGAAATACAGTGCCAAGTATCAGTACCAAATATCTGCCAGAAATGTAAAAATTATTATTACACTTACGACATTATGTTTCTTAAAGTAATGTATAGTAAAAATGTGTTAACAACCCTGAAGCATTACCAATTGGAATAGATTAACACAGGAAAAATTAATAAAAATTTCATTAAGTAGTAACTAACTATATACTGGAGGAATTCAGGGGGAGGTCTCTATTCATTTTCTGTTTGAGAGAAAAATACCAAACACAATAAGAAAATTTAACAATTTAAACTGTGGTCTGGGCTGAGAGCATAAGTCAACCTTTTTGTTTGATTTTCCTTTTTTAACTGGAAAAATTCATAAAAGTACGTAAAAATAGAACTGCTGAAAACACATCATGGTAATAGAATGAGTCCTGGAATTTTTATTAAGGCAATGCAAACAGATGATACACCGTTAATCCTGTTAACACCCCAGGTAAAATCCTAGTTTATTAATGCCGGTGATGGAAATCCTAATGCCCGTGAAACTAGGGCTTCGTTCCTGGTTCATATAACTTGTGGCACCTCTGCCAAGTGGCTCTGTGGCTCTGGCTGAGGGCACTCTGTGGTCTGGAGCCTCAGTGGCTCCAGATGAAACACCTTCCCTTTCACCCATCAGAAAAGATTTTGGCCACCCTGCTTGAAGTCCCACCCCACTGGGTGCCACTGAAGCAAAGTCCTGCTTCAGCTCTGGTTTGAAGGGCTGGGTGAAGCTAAGACCTCAGGAGCCCTCCTCAAGTGCGCGCCGGGGTAGCAGTGGTAGTAACTTAGGGCCTTGCTTTGCTGCTGGTAGGGGTGACAGCTCCAGGCACTGAGCTGGCAGAAGAAAATCAAGGCGCAGTGAAAACCGGGCTTGCACAGCACACTTTTTGGCTAATACGTGCCTCCAGCTCTGCTCAGTGTCCTGTGTCACTGCAGGGATGGCCCTGCAAGTGAGGGACCGCACAGGCAGCAGCTTCCCCACCACTCCACCCCTGTCCTCAGGTAGGTGAGGTGACAGCTGGGACCTGACAGCTTCCACAAAATCCAGCTCATCTTATGCTCTGGCAGGTTGCAAAAGCTCATGATGAAGTTATTTTGCTTTAACCAGTTCCCTCGCAACAGCTGAGCCCTGGTAACTGTTCATGTGCTTTTAACAAAGACAAACCAGGCTGATTTTACACTTGAATCTTAATTTATAGGAACTGGAGCTGAGTCTGAGGCTTCATGTACATTGTAGGCCCTCTGCTATCTTATGATTAAGTGCAGAAGAGTAATTTTTACCCAATGTGAATAAATCCCGAAAGCATTTAGTATTGTTCTGCCTTATCACACAGCAGCTCCCTACAACAGATCCCAGGTCCCACTCAAAGCCATTTCAGCCCTGGCTCTGGAGCAGGGTTCTGGCAAGTCTGGGCAAGGGACAGCCAGAAGGCACAAGGAAAGTCATATTTCTGCCCATTTTCATTTCCCTTCCCCAGCCCCCAAAGAAGTCTGTTAACACAGGCAGGTGTTTGGGGTTTTTTTCCCTTTCCAGTCTTCCTTCTCCCCTTTGCAAAAACCTGAGTGAAGCCCGGCTCTTGTGCGATGCCCTGAGTCAACCTTCCCTAGCTCTCCAGGTCCTTGTGCAGGCTTTCAGGTATCACAGGAGGCTGGGTAGAGGATGGCTGAAAAATGATGCAACTTGGCCATTTCAGTGCTGACCACAAGCAAAGAAAAAAGCGAAGTGGACAGGAACCACTTCTTTTTCAATCAGCAGCTGCTGGGCTTCTGGGGATGAGGAAGGGAAGGGAAAAGATGAATTTCGGTTTGGAAACACGCCCGTGTTTCTAAAATGAAAGCAATTCAGCAATATTTTTTTTTCCTCTGACTCAGAACAAATAAAAAATGTTAAAATGCCTTGCAAATGGAAAGTTCTGGGCTTAACCGATTTTGTTATCCAAATCTGCAACTGGAGCTGTGTCGTTGTCTGTAGCGATTACTTGTTAGCAGGGGAGTACATGAAGATGGGTTTCAGCAGTCCCATGTGTCTTACTCAGAGAAGGTTTCGGTGGACATCAGTGGAAGCATTGTCTGAGTAGGACAACGGCGATTGTGCCCCAGTGCCAAGGGGAGGATTATTTTTCAGTATAATAGAAAAAAGGCTAAAATATGAGGGAGGCGTGGGAGGAATGTAGGCAACATGGGAAACCACACTTTAAAAAAATAATATTAACTGTCCTTGCTAGTTTATTCCTTGATTACATTAGGTAGCAGGCAGAAAAAAGAGCAGAAGATGTTTCTAACTAAGTATCTGTGCTTGTAGGTACGTGGAATGGAAATACTAAAGTGGCTATCAAGACCCTGAAGCCTGGCACTATGTCTCCAGAATCCTTCTTAGAGGAAGCCCAAATCATGAAGAAGCTAAAACATGACAAACTGGTCCAACTTTACGCTGTGGTATCTGAAGAACCTATCTATATTGTCACGGAGTACATGAGCAAAGGTGAAGCCAGAGCTGCTGCCCTTGATAACAATATTTTGTCTTTGGTGATGCTTCTTGGGGATACAGGGGAAGGTGCAGTGTGATGCATGAACAGCATGTGAGGGAGGAGAGAGGGAACAGGAAGCTAAATTCACCTCTGACTTCAGAAGAATTACAAATTCAGCTCTGAACTGGGCCCAAAACCTGAATCCCACTGGATGTAGAAAGAAAATTTGCATTAGGTGGGGGAGAAGTTGTGCTTCCAACTGCATCAGCATCTAAACTTCCCTGACACGCAGAGATTTGCATTTTCTAGGTTTGAATGACATTACATGCTGCTTCCCAAGATCCTAGCTTTTCCTGGTGCCAGAGAGTTCACATGGCATCTTCTTTCAGTGTTCACTTGTCTGCCTAAGGGTTCTATTTCTTTTAGCTATCCTGTGTTCTGTTGCATGCACCTCGCTCCCAGATCACATCTTAATTTTCAGTCTAGCCCATTTATCATTTTAAGACATGGTTGGCACATATGAGGCTTTCTTCTTCTTTCCCCTTCCCTTTCCCCTTCTCCCTTCTCTTTTTCTTTAGGCTACTTATCTGGTAAGGACATAGTAAAATGAGAAAAGGAAACCTTTTCACTCCATCAGATCTCCAGCAGGGGTGCTGAGAGCAGAGCAAAAGATCTGCTTGTTTTGGAAAAGCAAATGAACCAAATAGGATACATAAGTTCTCACAGGGAAGTTTCATTGTACATTGGAGGATACACTCTGAAATTTTAAGTGCATTTTTTTGCAGTCTATTTGGAGTTGATTTTTATTTTCCTGGCAGGTGCCCCTCCTCAGAGGCATCCAAGCCCTGACTAACTCACACGTTAATCATACATCTCAGTGACAAGCATGTGCTTTTTCCCCTTTAAAAACAAGGCTTCTCAAAATCCTTCTGAAGTACGTCGTTTATTTTGGCTTACTTTACTAGTTTTTACTGTAACATTGTACATCTTTGGATGTGAGCTTGAGGCTGACGATTTATCAAGGGAGAAACGCCTAATCATCTGTCTTTTGCCTTTGTTTATGAAACCAATTCACTGACCTTATTTAAAGGAGACTGCCACACTTCTCTGGTTGAATACAAAATTGGGAAAGGAGCTATAGCATCCTAGTCATTTTTTAAAGCTACAGAGAACCTCCTTGCTTTCCCTTGCACAGTCCTTACTGCTGTTGCTAAAATTGCTTTCATCTGATCTCTGCTTTGTCTTCTCCAGTTTTGCATCGTGGTCTTCTGAAATTAATGGCTCAAGCTACATTTAGTTATGGGTTACCTAGAGAAGGAACACTACTAATTTCTAAGGAAAATTAGCCTTTGTTAATGCTAGCCCCTTTGGGCTTACCAGGCTGCAGGCCGACTTTCCTTTTGGAGCAGGTTGAGCTGGGATCTGACTTTTTCCATAACTTGTGTGGCTTGGAACTGAGCTGATGAGCTAGCTGAGGCCTTTAGACAGCAGCAGGTATGTAGTTTGAAAGAGTACTGGAAAAGTTAAGACAGATCAGCTTTCTCAGTAATGGTCAGAAAAACTAAAAACAGTGTTGTTCCTTTTCCTGACACTCTCTTTGGACTAGTGACATATTATTCTGGAAGCCAACCTTAAAGCAAAGTGAAACAAGTGTAATAGAAGATTTCTAAGATATTATGGGAGGGTTTGTTTGTTTGTTTGTTTTTTAACTGCTCACTTGAACTCAAAACATTCCTCTTTATTATTTCATACTGCCACAACTCCATCCTGACGAACAGCCATTGTTTCCCTAACATCTCTCTATTGTGTCAACTTTGCATTTGCAGGGAGCTTGTTAGATTTCTTAAAAGATGGAGAAGGAAGAGCTTTGAAGTTACCGAATTTGGTGGACATGGCGGCCCAGGTCTGTCTTCAGAGCACCTAGGTGTTTGTGTTTTATAGCCCGTGTGTGTGTGGGTTCATTTTAACACGCACCGACTGTCCTCCTCATTTCTCGCAGGTGGCTGCAGGAATGGCGTACATCGAGCGAATGAATTACATCCACAGAGATCTGCGGTCGGCAAACATTCTGGTGGGGAATGGCCTAATATGCAAGATAGCCGACTTCGGATTGGCAAGACTGATTGAAGACAATGAATATACGGCCAGACAAGGTACATACAGTGGCAGGCATGGCACTGAGTGACAGGGGAAGAGTGGAACGTGGCTTTAAAAAGCTCTTTGTCATATGCTTTGGGGTTGCTTTCAGTAAATTCTGAACTTACGTTAACTCCTAGCCCAGAACGTCCCTGCTGAATGCACGTCCTAAAGAAAATGTCATTTAGTTGTCTTCCTTTTAAAAACTGACCAATGTGAAACAAAATTGATGAGTGGAAGGGAGCACAGGTGGGTGAGGTGACAGTAAAGACAAGATCCTCGTGGTGCCGTAACAAAGAGTATTCTTTGCTTACCAGTCTTGAAAGCCTGAACGGAGTAATCCAGAAAAGCCTGCGTAAGCTATTTCGTTCACAGTGTGCCTTCCAGTATTTACTGACCGCTATCAACACTGCTGTGCCGTTCTTACTCTCTTTATTTCAAACGGGCCAAAGAATTGTGTCTCTGTGCCGCGGAGCTGTCTCTCTGAACACTCTGCTTTCTTTGGGAACTTACAAAGTTACTTTAATAGGAAAGCCCTTTTCCAGTGCCACACAGAGTGCTGGGCACAGCCGACCACTGATACACTAGAAGAATGTATCAAAGAGGATTGTAGCTTTTTTGAAAAAGCATGTGTGTGTTCAGACTGAGCCATGACACAGGCTCTTTGTAGTCCGCCACTCTTTACAAGTCACGCTTAGTTCTCAGATGTTGGTCCAAGTTTGCAGAGCTACGGTTTTGTTCTCTTGCTGTTGGCAGTACACTGGTAGTGCTTGCTCAATGTGTGTCGGTAAAAACCGCTCCGTCCATTCCAGTGCCAAAGCCAAAGAGTGTCCCGTTGAACCCCGCTGTATGTCATCAGAAAGCATGGGTTGGCAAAGTCCTTCATAACCTGCATTCACCCCATCCTGCTGCAATGTTTTTCTCTTGACCAGAAATCCCTGTTGCAGCATGGATTTTGCCATTAATTCTTCAGAAAGAGCTAACCTTTTTCTCTGAGTTTCGAGTGTTGACAGAAGGAGCCAGAGAGTTTCCAGCATGCCTTGTCTTGGCCTGGGAGCAGCAGCTCTAATGCCGCTCGCAACCCTCTGAACTGCTGTCAGCAGTACCTCGTCACGGGGATGTGGACCACAGGCTGTGTCCACCCTAAAAGTTGCCTGCTTCGCACTCGGGCGGCGAGGCCTGGTTATCCGGGGGGACGACACCTTGAAGAACCCGTGTTAGTAGTAACGCAGAGAGTTAACCACTACTGATTTCAGCCTGAGGCTGGGGATTGCTCCTTGCTAGAAGAAATAGCCCCGTGTCATTCTCTCCAGAGTAAGTAGAGTGTCTGCAGGCTCTGGGAGACAGAAAGCTGACTGCTCGCCCTCCCCCTGTGTAAAACGAGAAGAGTTTTCCTTGAACGAGGCAGCCAGATCCAGTCTGCAAAATGGCTTTGAAAGAGGGTCCTATATTATCTCCGTTTCCGTCTGGTTTGCTGCCATGTCTTTTGTTCCCTTTGGAAACCACCCAACGTATAGTTTGACACGACTAATTATTTGGTTTAATAGACAAGTGTGTGACCTACTTCTGGCTAGATCTCTTCAGGCTCCTGATTCCTAGGAAATGCTTTGATGACCTGTTTGCTTCCTAGTTTAAATCTCTCAGAATAGTTTTGCCCTCTTCAGAGGCAAAACAGCTGTGAAAAGCTGCCTGACCAATGTTGAGGAGAAGCTTAGAGTTTTTAAGACAATAAAAATTATTGGATTTTGAGTGGGATAACTTTGATCTCAGAATTGCATAACGCCAGGACTGGTGGGGAGAGGGAGTGTAGTCATGGGTATCTCCTGCCCTTCTTCCATGGCAGAAATCACCTGTATTGTGGACCAAGTGCCTGGGAAGGTGGAAGTAGTTTGGGTTTTAACCTGCAGCGCTGATGATCCGGAGATCAGAATTGTGTTTCCCTGGCTTCATCTCATGATGCAAGTATGGAGAAGTCACACACCCTTCCCATACTTGAGGGCAACGGAGAATACTTCCTTCCTCTGACCTCAGGGTCAGGCTTAAGTCCTTCAGAGCTACACAACTCCTTAAAAGAGAGACCCAAAGAGCTGTAACCCCAGGCATCTTGTAGAAAGGTTTTCCTACTTTCACTTAAGGAGGGGGGCAGTGTTTGACCCTTTCTTAGGTGGTGGCTTGTTCTAGGGAGGGATGCAAGCAGCACACTCCCAACTTACAATTCATTGCAACTGACCTGACTTCCAAGCCAGCTGGGCAGCCAGGGCGAGCCTAGAACCTTTAATTTAATGAGGAAGAAAGACAATTTTTAATGTACCACTGGAATTTTTCTTCAAGTGGGATTCAGCCCTGGTTTGTTTAGTTAAACTTCAGTTTGAGCACTGCTTGGTGGAGACCGCAGTATCAGAAGGAAATGGTTGCCTCTGCTTGTTTCCCATGACCTATTACTTCAGTCTCCGAGGGGATGCATCTGGGGACTGCTCTGTTTATCTAGCTGACTACTGCTTCAGTGGGAATTTTGACACGGGAGGAGAGCCTGGCCAGAGGAGGGGAGGGGGACGGGGAGTGCTCCAGACTAGCAGCTCCTGTGGGAGAAAGGAAATGTTTTTCCTTACAGAATCTGAAGATTAAAGCCTCTGGTCACTCTCTCCTCAGCAGTCATCCTCCTCTTGGCTTAAGTGTGTTAGTACAGAGCTCATTGTCGGCGTGGGGAAGAGGTGGTTTTCTCCAGCCTTGCTTGATCTCCGACTCCCTTCCCCCACTGTCACTTTTGTCTCCAATTAAATATTTTGAAAGGAAACAGATGGAGATGCTTTGAGCCCCAGCGGGCTAGAGTGCAGGATTCCTGAACCTGTATGGGTATGCTCAGCCTGGTGGTAACATTTTACTGACCGGTTTATTTTCTTTTTGGTTTGAACAAAGGAGGCCTGACTGCTCCTGATTTATGAGAGGTAAATAAAAAGCAGTTCGTTGTCTGCACTGCCATTTCTCAGCAATCATCAGGAAGGAAAGAGATGGTCATGCCACTAATGATTTAAAGTGTGCGACTAGCAGCTATACGCTGCCATTAAATAATACAAAAAAAAAAAAGTTCTTGGCTTGTAATGAGCATTTGGCTCCTCTTGCTTTTAGAGGAAGTGAGTAATCAAAGGGGAAAAACATGCCTGTTAAAGTGACACCCATCTTAAAGGCTACACTGGTGGACTATTGCAGCCTGCACCACTGGGGCTTGCTTCTTTTGGCTGTTACTCTTGCAACATCTTCCCCGCCCCACACCGTGTCAGGCATTCAGTCTTGTTTCCTTCCAGTCATGATGATGCTTGACAAGGCAAGACTTAAAACGCCTGGTATCCTACAGGACAAAGAGAAACTTCCCACCACCTCCAACACAGGATTTCCCATGCGGTTCTGCTACCCTTACACTGATCTGGTTCGCAGCTATGCGGCATTTTGGCCAAGCACATGGCATTTTTGCGGAGAGTGCTGAGCGCTCTACAGAGTTGCTGGGGAAGAGCTGTTACTATTCTAAGCAGTAGCAGCTGATACAAATTTAAAATTGCCTTAATAAAAAAAAAAAGAGCAGAGTTATTTTCCAGGCCATGTTTCTACTGCATACACTGGCAGCACTTGCAGCAGTGCCGCTCCAAGCACACATGAAACAATAAGGACCATTCTGATGCCTTCCAGACAAGTCAGAGCTATTTTGGGAGCTCTAGTACGTGTTTGTAAACTCTCAGATAATTTTTGCCTCCTTAACACTTAAAAATATCTCCTTCCTGCCCTGCTTAAAAACAAGTGGTGCTTCTTATTTTGATTTCTTAGAAATGAGCAGGGATTTTTTCCCCCTTCCAGGCTCTTCCCAGTCCTTTTGTAGAGACTTGGCTCCCAGCTCACCAGCTAATCAGATCTCTCTTGTTCGCGACTGACTGTACTGTCCAGGGCTTTTTTCTGGCTCTTTACCTGCCGTTCCCTGGGCCATCTGTGGAGCGGACAGGAGGAAGGACTCTTGCTTCTCAACAGCCAGCCCCCAGGGTCCCGGAGGGGGGTCACTGTTACGCTCCTACGGAGATGCCATCTGCTCTGCGAGAAGGAGCACGGCCAGGTCAAGAGGAAGGGCGAAGGGAAGGGGGGCGTGCCGGCGGAGGGCGAGAGGGGTGTTTAGGCCCGGAGTTCCGCCCCTTGTCCCCCGCTTCCCAGGGAGGGGTCAGCCTTCTGATCGCTGATGTTTTGCCAGGCTTGTAATTTCACGTTTGTTCTCACAGCACAAAACATGTCATTGTGCAGTCCCTCCCACACAGCACTCCTCATTGCCTACCAGGGCTGACTCGTTTCCTGTTACATGATTGCTTCAGCACTTCATTTTTACCTTTTGCGGCTTTCCCTTTCCAACCCCAGGAGCAATTTGCTGCTGCTTTACGTTCTCTGGTCGCTAACCCAAGAGTTGCCCTGATTTTGGGGTCCTAGAGCTTGGGGTGCTGCATTGGGTTGGACGTTAAGGTACAAGAGGTAGCAGCTTTGTAGCATTTCCAGAAACAGGATCATTATTGAGCTGGCAGTGGCTCTGGGGCATGAATTTCAGAGGTTTCTGCTTCATCGAGATTTAGATCTGAAAAAAAAACCAAAGCTCTGAGGGATTTTCGTTCGCCTCAGACGAAATCATGCTGAGAGTTGTACGTCAAGGTCACTCCATTATCCCAGCCCCCTCCGCTCCTTCCCATCACGTGACCTGCTTATAGCCGACAAAGAATTAAAGCAGGGCCACAGATTGATTTTTCCCAAAGAAATCCTCCTAGGAGATAACCTGTTCAAATGCCTGGGCAGAGCTGGGCAGAGGTCCCAAGAACAGGGCTGAGCCTCACAAAAATCCTCAGAGGTTGGAGGCAGGGCCAGCTGCCCTAACACTGAGTTGTACAAGAAGCTTTGGCTTGATGTGGTTGTGAGCAGTACAGAAACCCAAAAAAGGCTTTCCCCAGGCTGAAACGTTTCATAAAAGGGACAGAGATAAAAGCTGCAGATTAGTACCTCACTCTGGGGCAAAGACAGGCTATCCTGACCTAATGAAGGCAGTGCAGGGTTGGTTTTTACACATGGAGTTACTGACCTGCTAGTTTGTAATAAAACGAGTTTCAGCA